ATGGAATTCAGTGGACCCCTACAAAACAGCTTGATGACCTGGACTTTACTGATGATACTGCTCTTGTCCAACTCACAGAATCAGATGCAAGATAAATTAAATATACTTGTTGCAAGATCACAAAAGCTAGGTTTGAAAATCCATAAGAGAAAGACAGGGATGATGAGAATAAACTAGGTAAACAGTAATGTGGTTTCTCTTAACGGCATCTCACTTCAAAACGTTGAGTCGCACACCTATTTGGGCAGTAATGTCGATTAAGATAGGGGAACTGACAGAAATATTGAATAAAGAATACAAAAAATAAGAGGAGCTTTCATTGCATTAGGGATTTCCTGGAGGTCAAAAGAAATAAAAACTCACACTAAACTTAAAATGTTTAATTCTAATGTCAAATCAGTACTGTTGTATGGAGCGAAAGCATGCAGAACAACCAAGGCAATTACTAAAACAAATTACAGACATTCATTAACTGGGGGCCTGGGCAGAACAGAGGGAATTAAATGGTATGATAGAATCACTAATGCAGAGCTTTAGACAAGAACTCAACAAGTTCCAGTGGACTAAGAAGTCAAGAAAAGACGAAAAAATGAAAGACGCTGGCACTGGATAGGGAACATGCTGAAAAAAGCCTTAGAACAATATAACTACATTGTCTTTGCATTGGAACCCACAGGGGCATAGAAATAAATGAAGACAAAAAAACACATGGAAAACATATGAAGAAAGAGCGAAGTTGAAAAGATGGAGAGGACATGGGAAGAACTGCATGCGACAGCAAGGGATAGAACGACTTGGCGTAAACTGATTGAGGGCCTATGCTCCATTGGGGGTTAGAAAGACAGAAGAAGAATAGAATCTGCTTATATAAGTGAATTCAATCTGTTCAAATTTGTTGTTATTTAACAGTAAACATTAAATTTCTTGGTCTGGTTTTCAGCCTCTGTACTTAAAGTCTTCAAGATGTTTTGTTCCCTTTTATCATGAAGTGTTTTGTGAATCATGATTGCAATTTTGGTTAAAAGCAAGAAATAACATCACCACTGAAATAGATGGATGCATTCTTTCTTACTAGATTTTTGTTTTGAATAATATTTCTTCAAAACCTTAGATGAAATTTCCGTCCAGTGCTGACACTACATAATTGTTGTATACAATACAGGAAGGGTGTGTGTGTAAAATAAAGCTTAGAAAAGACAGAGAAAATGGCAGAGACAATGGTGATTTGCTATCCCCCCCACCCACACATGCACAACAAAACAGGTGAAGTAAATTGTGCTCTCTCTCTCTCTCTCCCTCCCTCTCCCTCCCTCCCTCTCTCTCTCTCACACACACACACACACACTCTCTCTCTCTCTCTCTCCCCCTCCCTCCCTCTCTCTCTCTCTCTCACACACACAAATATATATATATATATATATATATATATGAGGAGATCATTTCACTAACCCCCATATGTGGGCTAGCCTAGAAGGAGTTGGTTTCATTATCATTCTCAACAATTTCATTCCCACCAATGAGGAGGAAGTGGAGACTTTACTGATATATTTCATCACCTAACACCAACCACACAGCTAAGGACAGGCCAATACAAATTGTTACTTACTTCTCAAGTGCTGAAAACTTAAATGCCTTGAAGCAGTACTGTACAAATCTCCTTAAGTCTGTTTTAGAGATGCCTCCAATTGGATTTATGTCTGCACTTGAGCAATCATACTTTGTCATGTAACCACGCAAACTAAAATATTTGAAAGGAACCATAAATCATACAATCTTCACAATTGTCATGGAGAAAAAAACATGTCATCTTTAATAATAATGTGATGAGAAAAGATGTGCACATCAACAATAACAGACTGTTTTAAAAGAGAGAGAGGAGGGGGATAGTGGAGAGATGGGGGGGGGGGGGGGGGGGGGGGGGGGGGGGGGGGGGGGTGACCTTGGGGGAAGGGGTGACCGGCCATTAAAGACTGTCACAAGAGAGAAAGACAGCATTATTACTTGTAGAATGTTACTAGAGGAAAAAACACTACTCCACTATTAATAATTGTCATGAGAGAGTAAGATCACATTACAATTAATATGTGCCAGGAGAAAGGCCACATTACTGTAAAGAGGTTGTCATAAGAGAGCATAATCACAATAGATCATCTAAGTGCTTAATCACAACAGATCATCAAAGCACTTAATCACAACAGATCATCAAAGCGCTGAATCACAACAGATCATCAAAGCACTTAATCACAAAAGATCATCAAAGCGCTTAGTTCCTTCAGGCCCATAAAGGCATAGCCAGTGATGAACAATGCTCGAAACATGAAAGGGAGCTAGGCAGTTTTGTGCCAGAGAACCCAGTACCAGACATCAGTTCTACATTGAATGAATGCCTGCTTCGGCTGAAAGAAATGGTCATATGCTTCCCCTGCTTTCCATTGAGGATCAATTAGTATGCATGTGGCTATTTAGTAATAACCTGTTTACCACATGTGGATGGAAAGGTGAAGCTGACATCACCAATATGAGTCAGTGGAATGTCCCATGAAACTAATCATTGTATATAAAATGCCCAAACGTACTAATGTAACAAAATTCTCAGTAACAACTGATGTGTAGAGCTCATAAATTTTTGAGGTAGAAAGTCTTAACCACACAACTGTAATTCATAGAATGCAAAGACAATACTGATCCATCTTCCAGGAAAACAAAGCAAATAGCTGATCAGAAATTGTTCTGCTTGGGACATGTTGTATGTTGGCAGAAGCCATAAACCAAGACTGATCACAGTAACAAACAGTATAGCCCACCTTAACAGCTGTTGGTACCATACAATGTCTTTATATGTTTCAGTGTACAAACATTAGGGAAACTAATTAGTTTTAACTGATTAGTTTCAAAAAAATAGGTGTCACGTTAGCGCAGACGATAAGAGACTCACTTTCAAATCCAGCTACAACTCGCTGCAGCCCACAGCCGGTGTTCAAAACCAGACAGATCCCAGGGTTCACCCGGCCTCTACAAAATGGGTACCAGAATTAACACTTTGGGGTAAATGGAGGAACGTCGATGTAGCTACGGAGTTTCATGCAGGCGGCGATACAGGCGGACAGTTTCTTATCAGCTGTCCATACTGATGGCAGAGCACTTATGGTTTATAACCGTGTGCAATGAGCTGGGTCACACCTCCCCACATTACCCTTTTCATGTAAAAATGTCAGTTAACATACTTTACACTTAGTACATTACTTCATACCTTTCATCTACGTTAGCCGAACCTAAAACAAGCAAGCCACCGGACTTGTTCCTTGCCCATAAACTCAGCTGGGCAAACAGATATGCCAAAACCATTCTCACCCGAGCCTGAAAATATCAAAAAGGATCAGGAAAGGATTAAACAAGCAGATTTATTTGTTATCACTATTAAAACACAATTCTATTAGAAAAGTGTGTCCCAAAATTAACCCAGCTTTTGCACACGTTTAACAGAAATCGGTGATTATTAAGAGATTGCAAAATAAGCAGAATCTACAACTAATTTGTTTATTCCATATGCTTAGTCGAATAAAGCGCATAGATGGTTATATTAAGTGTGTGTCGTGTGATTTTTGTGCGCCAAAAGGCTCACATATCGCAGCTATGCTGTAAACAGGTAAAATGCAATTACTTTACTCACATGAACGATGAAGATGAAGAATTAACGCACAGTTTGACTAAGTTGAATAATTAGAGTATTTTGGGTCAACCATCTCTATGGAATTAAAGAGAGTCTTAGAAATGGTCGTTCCTCATGAAAGTTTGCCTGACATAATCAACAAATATAGAAAAGTAAGAGGATTACATAAAAGTTAATTGCAGTGAACAGTATTTGGCCAGTGGATTATAAGCTGGCACAACAAATGGATGAATCAGTGAAAAACATCAAACAGTTCACTAAGGTGTCATACCTGAACATTCTGCATGGCTAGATTTTCTCTCAAACTACCTCCATGAGCTCTAAATTTGGGTATAACATTGAATGCTGTTGAAAAAATCTTCACAATGGCTGCTACTGCAATGTCTATGGAAATTCCCATGTGGTAACTGAAACAAACAAGCTTTCTTTAAATTTCCAAATTAAATTTTTTAAATTACACAGCCAAACAGAATATAAATGTCTAATAAACAAAATGATTACAAGGCACTGTCTGGTTACTATCCAATTTCAACATTTACTTGCATAACTCAACAGTCATGTCAGAAAATGACTGGCTTTCATATGTTACAAAAGCATTTGACTTGTGCCAATGGTAAACTGTCAAAGATGTGCTGGGTTTTGCCTCAGTGACGTGTTCCATTGATTCCTGATAGAAATAAAAGACTGAAAGAGGTGATATTTATTCCCCCAAAGCAGCTGATGATGCCTCAGGTGAGCAGAGGAAGAATTCTAGTTTAGGTCCTTTCAAGACATGACACAGAGGGTAGACAGGGATTGTAATCTAAAAAAGCCCATTGCAACAATAGACATTATTTAAAATAGTTTGTAGAGTGGAAGAGGGCCAAGGGTTCAGTCAAATGAGTAAAAGTGTCATGTGTGTGTGAGAATATCAGAAAAGTTTGTTGCTGACAGTGTGTGTAAAGTGTAAAGTATATTGGGTAAAAGTGAGTAGAAACAACAACAAAGACAAAAAGAGAGAGATGGTGTGTGTGTGTGTGTGTGTGTGTGTGTGTGTGTGTGTGCGCGTGCATGCTTCGTAATTCTAAAATACTGAAGGTCATTTGGCAGCAGACCACTCTGTATTGATTCTTACAATGGTATGAAACGCTGATCATTTAGGCAGCAATGGCAAACTACTGCACATAAAATTGCCTAGTAAAATCATAACCAGCCAAACAAAACTGGGTTGGTTCTGCAACTCCCTGTGAAATATATCTAACTAATTTTATATATATATATATATATATAAAATTAGATATATTTCACAGGGCATATATATATATATATAAAATATCTTTTATAATATCACCTGCCAATCTGTCCCGCTAACTCTGCTGCATAACTCTGAGTCTCTGATGAACTGTTTTCTGAACCCATGTAGCAAGTCATAAAGATATGATTTGCTAGTTTCTGGGGATCTGTTGGAATATAGTCTGTCTGTCCAGTAATTCTCTGAATCTCAGCTGTTACAGATTTGTCTGTAAAATATACAGTATAAGAGGTCACATAATTTTTCTTGAAAAAAAAAGTCTTATTATTAACACACTGAAGAATAGAGATTGTTTACCAGGACATGTAGGCAATGACAGCAACCAGGACATGTAGGCAATGATAGCAACTAGGGCATGTAGGCAATGATAGCAACTAGGGCATGTAGGCAATGACAGCAACCAGGACATGTAAGCAATGACAGCAACCAGGACATGTAGGCAATGATAGCAACCAGGGCATGTAGGCAATGACAGCAACCAGGACATGTAGGCAATGATAGCAACCAGGGCATGTAGGCAATGACAGCAACCAGGACATGTAGGCAATGATAGCAACCAGGGCATGTAGGCAATGATAGCAACCAGGGCATGTAGGCAATGACAGCAACCAGGACATGTAGGCAATGACAGCAACCAGGACATGTAGGCAATGATAGCAACCAGGGCATGTAGGCAATGACAGCAACCAGGACATGTAGGCAATGACAGCAACCAGGGCATGTAGGCAATGATAGCAACCAGGGCATGTAGGCAATGACAGCAACCAGGACATGTAGGCAATGATAGCAACCAGGGCATGTAGGCAATGATAGCAACCAGGGCATGTAAGCAATGACAGCAACCAGGACATGTAGGCAATGATAGCAACCAGGGCATGTAGGCAATGACAGCAACCAGGGCATGTAGGCAATGGCAGCAACCAGGACATGTAGGCAATGACAGCAACCAGGGCATGTAGGCAATGGCAGCAACCAGGACATGTAGGCAATGACAGCAACCAGGGCATGTAGGCAATGACAACACCCATATCACAACTATTTCAGAGAATCCCCTGATAACTAGCCAAATGAAAGAATTCAACTAAGTGATAGTGATAATTAGAATAGAAGTGTTTAAATCCATGATCACTTTCACTGAAAAGAACAGTACAGTACTTTAACATGCTTTTAACAGATTTCACGTTTACAGACAAGATAGTAGAAGTTAAACACATTTTTAAATAAAAAGTAAAGGACCCTGGTCACGCCAATGGTACATCAGGCCATTGTATATAGATACATCATTGTCCTGTGGCCTCATTATATGTTACATAAGGCCCATATCAATCAATCAGGTGCCGTCTCCACAATGAAGGTTGGCTGCAATGGATCTCCAACAAGCCCTGTCTCTTGCCCTTGATGTACACTCACTCATACTGCTGTTCGTCCATCTCTTGATGTTATCCTCCCACTTGTAACACTATCTGCCTCTTGCTCGCCTACCTTGAACCTTTCCCTCATATACTCATATACATTTCCTCCATTCTATTCTATCCTGTGCAATCCCTTCAATGTCATGGATGGAATCCTGTCAAGCAGCTTTGGCCTCTCTCATCAATAACTGTTTTAGGGTTTCTTTTTGGCATCCTCGCCAACCTCAATCCCTTCACTTCTCATTTTAGTGCCTGTTTGGTGATTCTTTCATTTCTGCTCAGGATGTATCCAATAAAGCATCAGCTCCTCTCTCTTATGATACTAGAACTTGCCCAGATATTTTTATTATTTCTTCTTTTTATCCTCTTCTTCTACTCTTCTTCTTCGCATTCACCAGCTGTACACTCTGGTGGAAAGTTCTGGTTGTTCGTCCACTTCTGAACTGCAGTCCTGCCCCAGAACCTAAGTGTTGCGTGTGCATCAGTTTTACAGATCTGATTCACTTGAATGCAGACTGTTGGTTCCTTGCCTCTCAGGCAGATGCACTCCGACTTCAAAGGAAGCTCCCCAATTAGTCGACTCTTACGACATGCTTTTGGGGAGGCAGTGGGTCTATTCTTGTTTTCCCCACGATAGGGCCCCGGAACCCACACAGGGATTCACTCCTCTTGAATTCATCCCATTTTATGATCAAGATTTTCCTAAGGCATTTGTTTCCTAATGCATTCCAATTTTGTTCCATGTCTCTAGTGGTTCTCCAATATTCCCTGGCATATTTTTAAAACTCAAAAAACATTAGAATTGAAAATACGTAACTTGGTTTTAAAACAGTACAGTTTAGAGTTCCATAAGGCTTTTAAAAGCTGCCGATGCCTTGCGATGCGGATGCTATAATTTCTTACTCAGTTTATCCTTCACTATTAAAATTACTACCTTAATAAGTAAATAGATCTGTCATTTTAATTCTTTTTGTCTCTAGTGTTACATTTGCTTGATTTGTTATTGGTGTCGTCAATATATCTGTGTTTTCATACTTTTTATATTTATTTATCAGTGATAACTCGGATAAAGCAGATGTACTGATCTACACAGACAGACCTGTTATACGACAACAAAGAAGTGCACGGGAGTTCGCAGCACGCTCAGCGGGCAGAACAATCAAAGAAGCCAGCAGTGCCTTCTTCATGACAACAAGCAGCATGACAATGGAGGTGATGGCGATAATGCAAGCATTCGTATGGCTATGAACACAAGGACTATACCCGTGCATGTGTACTTAGTGATTCCATGAGCATGATCAGAAAGATCCAGGCAGGTTCTGTGCAGTAGAAACTTCCTGGAGGAGCAAGCACCACAGGAGTCTTCCAATCGTCAAAGTCCTTTTTCTGTTTTGGCCCCTTTACCTTCCTGACACTCTCTAGGAGTGGGCCAACCCGGGTCGCAACATCTGGGTCTCATTCTCCTGTTGCACCTTTGAGTCTTGCCAATAATACTAGGCAACACATGGGTTTGCTACTGATTACCCTCATCCCACCCTGATCATCACAACCATGAATGATTGGTTTGCCGGTTTTTTTAAAAAAAAAATGTGAGAGCCTGCCATTCTTATTGCCGTTTGCTACATTGTGGACACTAGTCTTGAAACCTGGGTCTGCTTGCTGAGACAAAAGGTTACCCTGTTTTGCTGCATTTATTCCACAGCCAGCCAGAGGCTTTTTCTTCTACTTTACCTAGCTGTTTCAGTGGCCTCTGCTTCTGCTGTACCGAGTTAATAAGTGTCTGTCTGAAAACAATATGCCCACTGAGCAGTCTTCTACATGCATGCCAACATGATTTAAGACTATAGAAGCCTCACATTTAAATAAAAACATGTGTTATCAGATTTATCCAGGTTAGATGGAGAAAGCATCGAAGCAGACTTGTTTCAGTCATTTATAGTTACATTTCGATGATAGATAGCTATAATTGTTTACCTCACACAAAGCATACAACAATAGAAAATCTGGAACAAAGAGAATAAATATAAGTGAAACTGGCAATCTTCTTCAGTGTCACTTCTAGTGCTATACCCCTTTATTATTTAAAGAGTATAGATAAAAAAAAAAAATAAAAGGCAAACTAAGTGTGATTGAAATTTCATTTCGTGTGAAGATATAAACTGTTTAGGGAAGTCTAATTTATCAAATAATGGTGCTCTGTCATGAGGTTCCAAAAGTTTCTCTGGAACAAGATCTAATGTACTTATTGCCTTTATATTTAATTTATATATTACTAAGTGATTCATGTTCATTTTGGATATATTTGATCAAGTTTTACTTCAACGCTATAGTGGTAAGTGGAACAATTATTATTTAATTTTACTAGTTTCTCTAAAGATGCTCTCTGTTTACTTACTAATATTTAACTACTAACACCACTTATTTATTGTAGCAGTATTCCAGTATTAATCCTCAACAATTACTGGCCACTTTGATGTATGATATGTGTATGTTGTGTGGCAGATGAATTATTATTGTCTGTTTTACAGTGTTACACTTGTGAAATTTAAAAATAGCATTACTTTTTGGTCCTCTGCTGCAAAACTCCCTGGGACTGAAAGACTTAACAGACCTTGTTAAACTTCAGTCTTTTCATTACCCAACAAATAAAAAAGCTATTATTGATTCTTCATATGAATACTATCACAATAAAATACATAAAAGAAAACCGACATAAACTGAAATCCTTACTTCCTGATTTCACTGCATCACAGATCATGTGGCACATGGACGCTACAATACAAGCTGTGCTTGAACTGTCAATGCCACCACTCAAAGGTAAGAAATAACCACCTTGTCCACTTCGTCTCAGATAATCCCACAGCCAACAAGCAGGTCCATACCTGAACAATAATCTCTGGTAACAAATGCTTGTTGGTAAACATAAGTCAGCAGTGGCATCAAAACAGCTAGGACACAGTTACAGCAGTTGAATAAAAACTAGATGAAATGAGAATGAGAAAATACAGTCGAGTCTGGATAAGTAGAAGTCGCACGGACCTAAGAAAATACTTCCATTTATCAGGGCTTCTATCCAGACAGCACACACACTAGAGAAAACTGCCGGGACTAAGATGCTCATGTCGACTTAACCGAAATTCGACTTATACGAGTTCGACTTAAATGGACTCGACTGTACTGGGGGGGGGGGCCAATGCAATCCTCAAGCAGTCCTTAACAACAACAACATATACAGAGACACCTTTATCTGATTAGAGACATTAGATATACACCAGATTCTTTGGGCACAATATGAGAAACAAAAATAAACTTGAAAAGTTAGTCATTCCCAGTTTCAACTTCATGGCAAACAGATCATTTCATTATTAGCCATTTCCTGAGCCAGCCAAAATTATACAAACTGCCTATCACTGCCTCTTGTAAAAAAATTTAAACAGACTGCACGACAGCAAAGGCCAACCCTATACACATGCATTAAACGCATAAGTCAGTCAGTCTGTCGATCGGTGTGTGTGTGTGTGTGCGCGTGGGGGTGGGGGGTTGTTGCAAAGAACACTATGGTTAGAAATAAAAACAAATTACACAATCCTCCAAAACCAAACACATGAAATGGACTAACAAGTTAATGTCAAGTACATAAAAGGTAACACTATCTATTTATTATTTATGACCCTACTGAGAATAACCACTGGTAAACATTTGCCATTATGTAGGAAAGTAAGTTTGAGTATTTGATCTTGAACCAGCTGTACTGCCTGGATGTGATGAGTTTATTTAGATATTGCCTACATTACATGTCTGATTCCTGACCATGCTCTAGTTATTGTTGATTGTAGGCTCAAAGTGTTAGCTAATGGGCCTTCATTCTCACAAGAGATAACACATTTAAGGTATATAGATAGCTACTTACCTGTGTGGCATAACCACACCACCTCCCCCTTTTTCCCAACAAGATGTTGTAAAACATTTACTAATTACTAATTAGGGACTAGGGGTGTATCTTTGGAGGAGTGCAACTGCCTTAGAAGTCAGGAACCAACAGTCTGCATTTAAATAAGTAACATCTATGAAATAGATGTTGGTGCAAAACTCAAGTTCTGGGGGAGGGGGGGGGGGGACCACAAAGTCTAGATGGCATTCGCAGAATTTTGGGCATGAAAATGAATGAGAATGGATAAGTGAAGAAAGACCGAGCTCTTTCCAGTGTTAATAAACATACTATTCAACATCTTACCTGATTTCTTCTTCAGGGGACAAAAAGGTAAATGATATTGGTTTTGTATCAGCAAGTAGATTGTATTCTCCTTCTGAGAGGGAAAAATCAACAATAATGCGGGGAAATGCCTTTGATGATGCTGCCTGAAATAATACAAATTATTCACATTTACTGGTTACAGCTTAAAACGTGTTACTATAGCATCAAAAGGACTAAAAATGTGAACAACTTTTGTGTTACTATACTTTATATTGTAAGTAAATAATTTAAACTTGTATTTGTCTTCCTTAGATAGTGCAGTGACCTTATAAGCAAATGGAAGTCTGTGAAACAACAATGCACAAGTCAATACATATTTTCCTATGTTATGTTATCATAATCGACATCACTGCACACTGGGAATTCCCATGCGTGTTTAGTCCTCTGATGCGGCAAACACTCCAAGGTTCGTCTACTAATTATTTCCATGACAGTTTGGTTATAATGCCTCCTATCTCGGCCTCGGGGAGTCGCCGTGGCCGAGCGGCTAGACGCTCGCCACGGATCGGAAGGTCGTGGGTTCACTCCCTGGTGGAGCCGGACTTTTGTCAAAAATGACCTTGGCTCCCAGGTCAACCCAGCCTTGAGTGGGTACCGGGTGCAGTCCCGGGAAGTAAAGGCGGCTGGCATGATGCTGACTACATCACCCATCGTGTGCCGATTGGCCTATAAAAATATAGGTCTAGCCCTATATGCCTAAAGGCGTGGAAAAGGGTCCTATAAATTTTTTTTTTTAACTTATCTCAACCTCAAAGGCGGCATAGAGGTGTTTCACAATGCTTTACTCCCATGTCACACAATCTTATTAGTGTCAGAGATTTGTCATTGTCCAGTAGCCAAGTAGCCAAATCTATGGTTTCCAAGATAAATATGTCAATATTATAAAGGCCTTCTACACCGATTCCCGCTGCCTTGTTAGAACGGAATCTGGTAACTCTGATTGGTTCCCAGTAGAAACAGGCGTGAAACAAGGATGTGTCTTGTCACCGATGCTTTTCGGAATAGCACTCGATTGGGTCATGCGCAAATGCACACAGGACACACATCTAGGCATCAAATGGGTCGACAAAGTTCTCGAAGATCTTGACTTTGCTGACGACCTAGCACTCCTGAGCACAACACATCTAGAAGCTCAGGAAAAAATGGACCGCCTCCAGAATATTTCAAGCCAAATCGGCCTTCAGGTCAACGCAGCCAAAACGAAAATCATCGATCTTACCAACGAGTCGAAAAGACATCAAACTAAAGGATATTGTTCTTGAAAAAATCACCAGCTTCACATACTTAGGGAGCAAGATAACCTCTGCGGGAGATACAACATCAGAAATAACGACTCGAATCGCGTTAGCATCAAGTGCCTTTAACAAACTGTCAAACATTTGGAAGTCAAGATCACTCAGCAACAACACGAAACTTAAGGTCTTCAATTCCTGTGTGATCCCAGTGCTAACTTATGGTTGTGAGAGTTGGAAATCATCAGTATCAATCGATAAGAAACTAGTCGCTTTCGAGAATAGATGCCTCCGAAAGCTATTGAATGTTCACTGGTCGGACTTTAGGTCCAATACATCTATAAGACAGGAAACAAAACAAAAATATGTGTCTGATTTTATTAGAATGCGTCGCTGGAATTACATCGGTCACGTACTCAGAATGGACATACAGAGTCTTCCCCACCAAGCCTTCATATGGTCACCAGAGGGTAAAAGAAAACAGGGAAGACCAAAAGAAACTCTCCGTAGAACCATCACAAGGGAGAGCTCAACCATAGGTCTCAGTCGCACTCAAGACCTACATCAAGTGGCAACGAACCGACAGACGTGGAAAGCTATGACCTCTGCCCTATGCGCCATCTTTGGCACAAGAGGAATAACTAACTAAGTAGCCAAGTGCATGCAGTGTTGATGACAACTGTTCTATCAATGCCTCTTCCCACATGCGTTGGTACACTGCTTGCCAGTTGGTCCGCTCCTTCATTACCCTTTATGTCAGCATTAACAGGTGTGAACATCCAGGTGAGGGGGGTTAAGTCTGATTTTTTTATTCTTTCTACCCATTCAGAGCAAATATCATCTACTGCTATCTTCTGTAGCATGTTCATGGAGTCTGAAATTACTGCATGTGTGGCAGTTTTCTCTGCGGCCCATGCCAGTACTTTAGAAGCAGCTGCTATCTTCAAGGTCACGCTTGACCTAGCTGCCTGGTAAGCGCCGCGGACCTCTTTTATTTGTCCTCATCCTTTTGCTGTTTATGTCTATGCTGACCTTGATCCGCACTTCACGGATCTATCTGTGTAGATGATGACGTCTTCTGGGTTGCAGTACCTCCACAGTGTGATCACAACCTCAGAGGTGCCATGCATGTCTACTGGTGTATTCGTCCATTTTTGTCCGTGACTGTTTTTGTCTAGGTCACATACCTGCTGTTTAAATTTTTCAGCCGTGGCCACCCAGGAGTGACCTCTTTTGAGACTCATTCCTTCTGTGTCATGTATAGCTTTGTGCAGTGGGTGGTGAACGTCTGTTGATACCCTCATGTACAACTTGACCTGTTTCTTTTATCTGCTGGCTATAAATTTGCTGCTCAAATGTGGGAGAAACCTAGATAAATTTCTTTGTCCTTACTAACAATCCTTATGCTCTAGTATGTACATGTATGCAAGCATATGATCTATTTGATGACTGATATAATGTTTATTTGATACTAGAAACGTGAATTGGTTGAGTTGAGTTGAGTCAAGAATTGTTATCACATCACAGCATTTGGGGCATTCCCATGTGTGCTCCGTCCTCATCTTCAGCAGCCAGCGCAGAGTTCCAATACTGATGGTACCGGTCACAATCTGGTTAAATGTCCGTCTTGCCTTTTCTCTGAGTGGAGTGAGCCGGTCAGACCCTCTGGTCATACCCAGGCGCTTTATTCTCTTCAGGCCATAATAATCTTGTTTCTCTACTGATTCCGTTGCATGTTCTCAAAGGGCCTTGACCACATCTGCCTTGTCATGTATCAGTTCACCACCCAGTGGTGCGGATCCAGTCGATCTGCCTGTTCATTACCCACTAAGCCAGCATAGCCAGTGACCTTCCCAGTGAAGCTCGCCACTCTGCTCGAAGCATCACTGTCTTCACTTTTTTCAGCACGCCTTCAGTCTTTTATAATTATGACATGTGTATGCATCTTGTTCTCTAGCCACTGAAGAGCTGCAATCACTGCCTCCACCTCCATTCTCATGCTAGATGTTGTGATGTCGTATGCTAGGCTGTCTTGCACTAGTGATTTTCCACTGGTTTTGAAATATGAATTGGTATATTTGATTATTATCATTATATTTAATAACTGATAATTCATGTCCTTATGTGAAATCTCGGCCAGTCCCGATTTCTCGATTAATGAAGGAATCAAGTGTATATTCATTATACCTAATTTTTACCAGGTTGATTTGACCTTGATTAAATTACTGTCTTGTTTTAATTTAGATTTAGTCCTGAAAATTCTGAGATTAGTTTAAGAAAAGTGAATAACACTGTCAGAGAAGAAGAGAGGTCCATGCTTGTAGTTATTATTGTTATATATATAATTCCCCATTACCAGGAATATATTTTTAGTACCACTGCTTGTGGTATTATAATATTAATAATTATATTTAACCCTTCCCAACTTCTAAAAACTATTGAATAAGATTTAGCACATGTATGGATTTACCTTTTTTATGGATTCAGATTTTAAACCGCAGTTAGTGTTGAATATTTTATGATTATACTGTGACAGATGGGAAGCCCATTGTCATCTATAATTGTGTTATGACATCTATCCTAGCACCCAGTTAGTATACTGATTGAGACATGTCCAATCCCATTAATTTTCAAACTGCGCATGTAAATTCACTCCCTGATTCACTATTTGTAATGTGAACCTATGTGGTTGAAATGAAAATATATTGTGAAATGTGACTGTGTGTGTAAGCATGTTAACCCTTGAAAGGAGTGTGTGTGTTGTCCATCAAGATGATGATGACCACTCTTTTTCATCAAGTATGAGTACGAAGATGACTGATGAGGCCGATGCGGGCCCGAAAAGTTTTTGGACAGTAAGGACAGGGAATGAACGTTGTGACAGGGAGGAGATCTCCTGCAGTCGCCTTTCTGTCCATCATTTTCTTAATCAGTCTCGCTTATCTGTTTGCTTCACATGTAGCCGCACCCTTGTGTAGAGCTGCACACCATGCATTTCGGTCTTGAGAGGCAACCTGAGTACTAATGTAAAGAGAGCAGACCAATTCATACAGCTGACTGTTTTCTCTCTGCGATGTTAACTCATGTGCTTCATAATATCCTTGAGAAAATGATGTGGATGGAATATTTCTTCCATCAGGAGTATATATTATGTTCAGTATATATTCTGTTCAGTTAATTCTATACCCCCCTCAAGAATATGAACACATGTTCCTTCCCTACTACATATGTGTGTGTGTAGTGTAACAGTATATGAGGACAGGAGGCCTTGTCGTCTTTAGTGAGAACTTTCCCAACTGCTTGTACAGGGACTTCAATTGTTCTAGTTTCAGGTGGAGTTCCAGGTGAAAGAATCTAGCACAGCTGCAGATGGCTGATTGTCTACACTGGACTAGAAGATTCCACCTGCCTGAAGTGTGTCCGAGATGAGTGGATATCAATCCACTACGTCAATCTGTAATCCATCAATTAGTATTTTTTTCCCCAGTCCTACGATTTATATTTTCCAGATTACCTGTCATACTTGTTAATGTTATTCTAGTTTTGTAGAGTTTATTTTAACAGAGTATATCAGTGAGCAAGACTTAGTATATTCAAATATACATTAATATACCATTTATATAACAGTGGGAAATCAGATGTGGGCAAACCTTGAATCCTCTCCTTTAATCAGCAAGGCTGGGAGAAACAAAAATTTTGTTACCAACGCATATTTAGCCTTTTTTATCGTGTCTGATTATGAAAACCAGACCAGTAGTATTGATTATTCGTAATCTACCAGCAAATTTAGCGCTTGTATCGGCTTAAAGCGTTACCCATAGTTGGCGCAGCCATCTTGGAGTAATAAAAACACCTGGTTGCAGTTCAATTCAAAAACTATCGGTAGGGACGTCGGTCGGCAGACTACATGTCGTGAATTCGATGACCGTCGAAGTTGGTCGCCAGGGGATATGGCCGGAAATACGATGATCGTCAAAGTTGGTCAGCAAAGTGCTAAATGCTATTTTTAGTTACTACGCAAGTGCATATATGACCAAAGGAACTTAACTACGATTTTCAAGAACATGTTACTGCAGACACCAATATACACAGGTATTTACAATATAGTGTCATTACCAGAAGTGACTAGATTTAGTCTTCTCAGGGTAACAGGGTAAACTTTCCAAAACATTTTCCTATATCCATTTTATCTAAGGTAAAATTTAAAGCACTGGTCAATTTGTTCTAAAAACCCTCTTTGCTAGTGCTCACAGCAGAAAACTGCTTTCAACATAGATAATATTTGATAACTGTTGACTACGAACGTCACAGCTGTAACATATTTTTTTTTACTCACTAGATAAATCTTTAACACACCCTTTCCACATCTCAGTTACATGGTTTATGTTTTCACACAGCATTTTTTAGCTTTACTTTCTTCATTATTTTCTGTATCATGTCAGTCATTTTAACTGAATTTTCATAGTCAGAATTCTTTATATATTAGAACCACATTATTAGTTCAGCATGAGCACATCTTAAATAAAATATATATATGCTTCAGTAAGAACTTACCACTTCACACCTGGATTTAATGTGGGTTTTGTAACTTCTGATGTCTTCTAAATCTATTACTGCAGTTATCACAGACTGAAAAAAAAAATTATTATAAAGTATCTACCATTTTTAAATGCATAAAGAGAAATTAGCAAAGAAAGTGTTACATAGAAATAGCACAGTATCTTCTTCATCTTTTGCATTCATCCAAAATCGTAAATGCTTTGTACCTGTTTACAACATGGCTGCCATATTTGCACCTTTTGGCTGACTCATCTGATTTCTTTAGTCATCTGTTGCCTAGGTAAGCCTTCTCAGTTAGTTTCATAGGACACTTTAGTCTCACTGTTGTGTGGTCATCTTTGTTTCTTAGTTTACAAGTAGTATTTCCGCCCCCCTTCCCCCCAAAATCAGGTCGGTTCACAGAAGCCCTGTAATTCTGGTCAGCTCTCAAGAGAAAGCAGGCACAGAACATCAGCATTCCCTGCTATCCAAAGAGGCTTCCATAGTAGCACTGTAGTATTATTTCCTAGTATGAAGTACAATATACAAACATCTTAGCTTACCACTTCAGCTAAGGTGAACTGAGGCCCTTGTGCTACAATGTCTCCATTGACAGCAATCATTGATCCGCCATCCCAATAGCAACGTTCCCCATCACATCCAACACCATTGGAGAATATATAAACCCCACCTGACTGAAACAGTGAAACAGATTGTAACAACAAGCATATGAGGATGAATCAAATAACTGCCATTGCTGGCTTCATTATAGTCAAAATTGCCATTTTAAAAACTTAAGTAGCTACTTTTGACCCCAAAAAAAAACATGCATGTTTAGTGAAAAATTTTAATAGATAGGGCAAATTAGTCTGAAGTAAATATAAGATCAACTTTCTTAGAAAATATAAAGATTAAGTTTTAATGGGAAATGCACATTTGCATTTTATGTTAAAAATATATTATTGTGCACAGTCAACAATAAAGCATGTTAAAACTACATAAATTATTCTTACACGCTAAAAAAAGTTAAATAAAACTTGCCTTCATTGATGCTGACTTGACCAAATCCACTCTGATGTACATCTTTCTCAATTCGTGATATGATGCACTTCCATTTGCAATAATCTCAACACCATCAAGAGCTAGTTCAATATGGCGTGACTTTGGATTCCACATCTCTTCACATATTTCTGCACCAATGCACGTGTCATACGTTGATAAGACTGCATCTCCAAATGGCACAGTTCTCTGTAAAGACAATTTTTAAATGGTATACAGTTACTTATTCATACTTGGGCCACCAGTTAACTGGAGCAGCTGTTCCATTTAGGACAATGCTGAAATTGATGCAATTTAGCCAAAATGTATTCTTATTCTGATCCACTCCCCTCATTACTGGGGCAGTGAAAATTATGACCTAATCACATTCTGGAGGCAAATGAGACAAATGAGCTAATTTCTTCTAAAACCTGTGTACAAGACTCCTTTACAAATATCACTCATGTCAATGTTTTCTTCAGTTTCCTTAGACATGAGGTTCCAAGCTGAAATTAAAGATTATGAAAGAGTCAGCAAATATGACTGGTGACATGAAAGAGACAGATCAATCGTATCAGGTCTACCAAATTCATACAACAAACGGATTAATCAACTGTCACCATCCTTTCCTGTGATGTTATGAATTTCCCTGAGAAAAGAGGCCAGTGATTTTGTCACTGTAACATGACATTATTTATAGAAAGCTGATTGAATGAGAAGGTGAAATGACTTCAACCAATATCTTTACAAAGGGAAGAATGTCCTTGTCATTCTGACAGGACTCTTCCTCTTGGTACTTCAGCAAGTTAACACTTAAGGTTCGCCATAAAATTATACATCACACTGGCAAATATGAACATCTTTTAATTACAGCGAAAAGGCGAAAAATGCAATGGTATGGACATGTAATAAGATCTAACGGCCTCTCAAAAACAATACTACAGGTCTGAGTAGAGGGGGAGAGGAGAAGACGCAGACCAAGAAAGACCTAGTTACAGAACCTGACTGGACAGGCCTGCGGCATGCAACCATTGCAAGTTCACTGCAGCTGATCATCAAATGCGGAGACAACTGGTGACACATTGATACGCAGGGTTATGGGACGATGATAATGATGAACAAAATATCTGCAGTCAGACGATACTTATAGAAATACAGTAGACACTACACTCCATTGAATTTTTTAAAAATTTACATCTTTAACGTAACTAATCATTCCTATAAAAGATTTAACTAATCTTCAACAATACCTGCCCTGTGATTTCTTGTAACATTCGAGGCAAGAAGTGATCTTCTGTTTCCTTTAACTTAGTCCATGCTGTAAACCACCGGGGCTCTCTGTAGTTTCCTTCATTGGCAAGCATGATTTTGGGCCGTATGAGAAGAATTTTCCTTTGTAATAGAAATTTTAATAATGTTCATCATAAAAACTAATGCTAGTTCACAAAAATTAATGACCCCCATAGTGTCATTTGATAAATTAACCGACAGCATGCAGTCAAAAAACTATCACAGCTAAAGAAGGAAATCTCTAGCAAACAGCACGACGTATGAAAGAAACCAGTTATATGAGGTTTTGAACAACGGATCAACATCATGGCACACGGGTAAGTAACCCATAAGTGCTCCGTTCTTCTTCTGACTCAAGTCTGAGTCCGAAGAAGCTCAGCATAGTGCATTGGCTCTGTAGCACTGGGGAGGATCCAGAAATACTTTGGGTAGATTCTTAACTCAAAATTTTGCCCAGGCAGCGCTTTTAGGCTACTCTTTTCAATTTCCCACTGCCAAGGGATTTTTTACGTGCACAACAATGCACATGGCGTCCGATCTCACTACTCAGAGACTAGGGGAATTACTAGAAGATAGACCCTGAAGAATCAGCTGTACACACACGCTGTCACTGTAACTGACTCACACAGCATGTTGAGATAAGCGGAGACATGCATGTTCCATGCAGACATGCTAGGTCTGCACCACTGGGTGGTGCGAGTGATTAGTGTGGAGGCACAGATAGATCATTAGGGTCTGAGGAGAATAACTCTGCAAGGAGTGACCAGGGGATCTGGCTGACATGGATATACAATTAGACAGTTAATGGTGCCATCTGAAGTAGAACTCTCTGCTTGCTGCTGAAAATGGGAACGGAGCACTTATGGGATTGTCCCGAGTGCTACGTCGATTCTTAATTCAACATTCCCTATATTTTTACATTTTTTTATTGTATGCTTACAATGTCTTAATATATATGAATATTAAAGCAGGGACCAAATTTTAGAATTATATTTAACATTAATCAAATCTTAGGTGTTAGCCCACCCATGCACAGCACATATTTCTGCGTTTATTTGATCCATTTCAGAGCAATAATAAGACCTGGAAATAAACTGTTTAGCTAATCCTATCCATACCATCACACACAAGAAACTCTTACTTGTTCAAAAAGAATACCCTACAGTTGTAGGTGACATTCTTGTGCATGACAGGCCTGAAAAAAAAAAAATGTGAAACTGTTTATTGAATAACTAACAGACCAGACATGATTTTTTTTTTTTAAAATATACACAGTAATTTACTTCTGTGAAATATGATGATTAAATAACTGCCCTTGAACCACTGTTGGTGTGTAAAACAAAAATATACATCAAGTCCGGGAACAATTCACAAAGTACTATTCATTTATATCTGTCACACAAGACAATTTTTGTCAGTAAAAATAAAACAGTTAGAACCCCTAGTCCATGATATCACACTTTATAGTGGAGGGTCCATTTCACAGCCTGTATATCTATCATGAATTAGTTTCAGAAAGGAGCCATAGTGGCTGTCCTAATTCCAAATTCACTTTGTATTCTTAAATTATTTTATCTTTTCTCTTTACATGAGCATGGAAACATTTCTTTTAATGGACCATGTAAACAGACTTAGATGTGTGCAAAGTTGGCTAAAGGGACAAGGAGCATAAGAACATGTTCACAGAATAAGCTATAAAACGCATAAGGGACACAGAACAATTAAGTGTGAAGACTGTGTAAAGAATTATGTGAGATCACCATGTGAAACACTCATGTGCATAAGTTAGTACGGTGGCCACAGTAAATGTAACAATGTCCTTCATATCTTTCAAATGCATTGATGCCTTATAAACACACAAAAAACATAACCCTTGACCTGTTAGGGTCATGGAGGTGTATCAATGGAAGCACTAGCACATAAAACCTGCCATCTTTCTCTGTCTTCCACGTGATGAATAAGTGAATGATAACCTAGTTCTGTCCATTTCTCAATGTTGTTCTTCTTTGCCCTCCTCTTATTCAACTGCGCCCCCTCTTGTAGTACAGTGTATCGATCCATGTCTCACCACCTGCCCGAACCTGCTACGTTTCAACATTGCCAAGACAGGCTCCTGATGTCCTGCAACTTTGTAAATTTTGTGTCTGACATGTCTGCTAGTTTTTTCATGCCTTATAATACAGACTGCATGAGGATGACATGCATTCAGTTGTTACTAACCTCATTATTACAATCATTATGTGCTTAAATCTAATCATTATTTGTCAGCATGTTTGCATTGTAGAAAAAAACACATTTTGGGCTGGAAAAGATCTTTAAAAATGTGAAGCTGAAGAGAGACGGGGAAGACTTGGAAAATGCTAAATATCTTGACATCATGGCATCGATATTTATATGTGCTAGCTATCATTACTGTAAAACAGGCTGTAGACAATTGTGATTAATAACATCACCCAACATGGACTTAAAGCAGGAGTAGATAAAACTTTGATACAGTACACTGCAGAACTTGGACACAGTAAACTAAGGTGGAGGAGATATGCTGATATCATTATCCTGTTGTACTTCTTATATTTATACAGGGTTTGCAGTCAACTGATCTATTTTATTCCATTCTCTGTGCAATCTTTTTGGCATCCCGAAAGGCAACTAGTCTAGAACCTTCATCTCTCATCAATGTTCCTCTTGGATGTTCCCGCTTCCTCATCCTATTTCAGTGTGTATTTGGTGATTCTCTGCCTGCTTCTTATCAGGATGTGTCTATTTATCACCATCTTCTTTGGCTGCCGATCATCTGATGAGCTGCTATGCTTAGGGGCATAAGCAGATATTGACAACAGTCAGTGCCTATACTACAATAAGGAAAGTAGACTACAAGCATATTTTAACAGGCTAAGTTTAACGTTGAGAAAACATAACATGAAAGTAAATATGACTAAAAGTGAAGTAGCAGTTCAGCAGAATTCCAGATCTACTTACACATAGAGTGGGAGAATCTGTGTGTAGCGGTTAGATGCTTGCGGACGGAACCAGTGGTTCTTTTTTTTAAATTATTTAAATGACCTTGGCTCCGAGGGTCGACCCAGCCTTAAAAGGGTACAAAGTTAAGTCGAGCGAAGTAAAGGTGGTCGGTGTGTAGACCATATCACTCACCAAGTGCCAACTGGTCTATAAAATATAGGTCTAGCCCTATATGCCTGAAGGTAGGTAAAATAGTCCTTCTATATGCCTGAAGGTAGGGAAAATGGTCCTTTACATACAGGGTTAAATGGTGCTTGTCTGAAACAAAGAATTTTAATATCTAGGAAGTATATTCTTAGAGGACGGGAGAATAGTTCAGTAAACAAAAACAAGATGCCAACAAGCCAGTTCCCTTATATACCAACTGATGCTGTTATTAGGACATCCATACATAACTATCACCACCAAGAAACAGATTACAAACAACATATTTGTATCAATACTGAGCTACCAGTGCCAAACTTGGACATCATCAAAGTTAACTTACATCAAAGTAACACCTGTGAAATAAGATGCCAGAGGAAAGACACCAACTTAACAATCTGAGACAAAATGATGATTCTATCAGACAGACTGGGGAATAAAACCAAACACATGAGAACAAGAAAATCAAATGGTTTGGTCTTCTAGTTAGAATGCAACCAGAACAACTACCAACACAGGCAATACACAAGAAAAATCTGATGTGAAAGCAAGAGGTTGCCCTAGGACAGCAGTTCTCAACCTTCCTAATACCACGACCCTTTAATACAGTTCCTCATGATGTGGCGACCCCCAACCATACATTTATTTTCGTTGCCACTTCATAACTTGAGTGAGTATGTGTTTTCTGATGGTCTTTGTTGACCCCTGTGAAAGGGTCAATCGACCCACAAAAAAGACCACAGGTTGAGAACCACTGCGCTAGAAGAAGATGACTGATGACATTAAAGACCTACATCAACACAGAATGAGAACAGCCACTGCTACCCCTCAAGTAATGGATCGCAAACTGTTCCTCTTCACTACACACACTAAACAGTAAAAGGGGAAGCTGATGATGATGTTACCTTTCTTGTTATTTGTTATTATCTCATTGCAACACCCCTGCAACATTTATAAAAGTCACCCTTTACCCTATAATTAAAAATAGTTCTCATAAATATGTATGAAACTGTGCTAACAGGCAAAGGGGGTTATGGCATTTCCACTTGCAAATATTATTATTTTACAAACTCACATAAAAAGTAACAGACTTAGACTTACATTCCTACATCACAAAGGATGTCTTGGCAATCAGGATTTGCAATTATACGAGCAAGTACTTCCCATGAATGCAAGAAAGTGTCACTCTCAAAAAAATGGTCACTGCAGCTATAACCACTGAAAAAAATATTTACAATCACAGAAGGTGAAAACATAGATGGTATTACTCAGTTCAAACTATTCTAATCTACAGGTTTTACCCAGTTTTTTTTTAAACCACAAATTATCTCCCTAATGAAGGCTGGCAGCAATGGATCTCCACTACTGTCTCTCACACTGGTTATATACTCTGTCACACTTCAGTTCACCCATCTTTTGATATTATGTTTCCATCTGTATCACCGCCTACACAAGACCGGCTCCAGTGACATCAAACCAGGCTTACAAAATATAGCGATTCTCAAACTGGGTGCAGCAGCACCGTATGTCAGGGGTGCCTGGTTTGGTAACATCAGCAGCATGGCCCGTCAGCTGGAACCAGTCTTGGCCTACACATGGCTCACCTAACTTCAGCTTTCCCATCTAGTATGGCTTTCCAAAGACTGACTGCTTTTTAATGTGGCCAAAATACTTCAGCTGTTTTTCATTTATTAGAGACTGAGTTTTGTTTATATGTGCTGTAATGACAAGGATGTTCTGTAATGAAATTACTATAAAATCCAACTGTCGTCATGTGTTCTCAGTAAAGACACGCCTGATGTATGTATGCATGTAAGTTAGTTAGTTAGTTGTGTTATCATCATTGCACTCCAGATACATCCACAGGTGCTCAGATCCTCCCCTCAGTATGAACCCCAGCGTCTGGTGGAATAATAGTACCAGTTCTATGTTGATTAACAAGTCCTATTTTAAGGTATGCCTGAGCCCTCCAGATCTTTATCCTTTGGTTCATGGTCGGAAAGTTAAGTAGATATCTCACAGCTACACATGGGGTGTCTCTTGTACATCGCAAAATAACGTGCACGGCCTCATTTTGCACTTTTTCAAGCAGTTCAATCTGTGTAGCACTGACAGTGAGGATGACTAGAGCATATTCAATTGGGGAAAGGACCAGCAGATAGAACAGAAGTATTAGTAGTAGGCTTGATGTTCTTTTCATCTAACCCTAAATTTTGAGAACATGTAATTAGATGTTTGTGTTGTACCCTGTCAGAAGCTTAAAAATGTACAATATTTTTCTGAACATGTATGCAGGTTTCAGTGATGATTTTAAACAGATTATGGCTTCTCTGGTGCTGCTTTTATCTTCTTCTTCTTCGCATTCACCAGCTGTGAACTCCGGCGGCAAGTTCTGGTTGTTTGTCCACTTCTGGACTGCAGTCCTGTTCCAGAACTTGAGTGTTGTGTGTGCATCCGTTTTACAGATCTGACTCATTTGGCATGCAGACTGCTGGTTCCTTGCCTCTCAGGCAGATGCACTCCGACTTAGAAGGAAGCTCCCAATTAGTCGACTCTTACGACATGCTTTTGGGTAGGCAGTGGGTCTATTCATGTTTTCCCTATAATAGGGCCCCGGAACCAACACGGGTAGCTGCTTTTATAAATTTAAACTTCTTTCAGCTACTTTTGATACATTTTAAACTGAATTCTTATTTGTATCATCTGGAGAAATATCAGTTATATAGTTGTGTAAGCTAATAGTTATATGGTCTTCAAAACCAACAGCTTGTGGTTTCTTGGCTAAAGTCATGACAATGGATGTAAATTACAGCATCCACAAATTTCACAGATTTCATTCAACAATATTTATACTATTACTAGACTACTATTTATACAAAACTACAAATATTTGTATGTACAACAAATTATTTCTTTTCAATTATGAAAGTAACCTGATTTCCAATTCCTGGCCTGTGCGAAATCGTGCACCTCTGGATTTTGCTTCAATTATGCCTGGAAAACAATTAGTAAAATTGTGAACACTGTTTATGCAAACTATAAATAAACTATCATTTACTTCCATAAAACACAAGTTGTATCTTCAAAACAATGTTTACCCGCAGTGAATGTAAATAATGCTGACATAAACAACAAACTGCACAATTTACTGTCTGGCATATTTAGCTGTATCTTGTCCGGCACATTGCTACAGAGTTACATCAACATATGGTTAGCTATGTATCCTTTACAACACATCAAAAACCAAACAAAGTATGATGGGTGTAGACAAGAATATGAGTATTTTTGACTTCCAGGGTGCAGACCTCACTTGACAGACATTACCTCCCAGAGATAAGGCAGACGTGGTTAGTGCCTTTTGGGAAAGCATGTACAGTTCAGAGGAGCAGATGGATCACCAGTCTGGTGAGATTGATGCAGGGTGGAGTGACGAGAGGTTCTAGCAGATGTACGAGGCTCAGAGGAAAGACAAGACAGACGTTTAATCAGAATGCTACTGGCATCATTAGAATCGGAACTCTTCGCTGGCTGCTGAAGATGGGGACGGAGCCCTTATGGGAATGCCCCTAGTGCTGTGATGTCGGTTCTTGAATCAAATCAAATCAACCTCCCAAAGGAATGAGAAGCTTCTTGAACTCAGTTCTTCTTAACAGGATCTAAGCAGCCCTCTTCTACAGGAAGGTAATTTTTATACATGGGAGTTGGCTCTTTGAGCCAATAATACATTCAAGCCGGCCACGTGGATCACCATTATCTCATGTGTTGTTTAATGCTTCTTCTTCTTTTGTTCGCTTTCTGACTTACAACAACAGACAAGCTCTTGAGATAAATCTGACTGTCTCTAGGTGTTCCCTTTAAGTTCCAAACAGCTGTGAGTGTTGAATCACTGAGCCAATATTCCCTTCTTAATGGGCTGTACAAGGGACACTCTTGCAAGACACGTTCTGCAGTCTGCACACACAAAGGGCCCAGTGGTGAACTACTTAGAGGTAGTCTGTGCATATGTTTTCAAGTTTATGTCCTGTCCTGAAGCATAGAATAACCCATGCCGGTCAAGTAACTGGTAGTCATCTCTGGCCAGACTGTTGTTCACTTCTGACAGACAGGATGGCCCTTTTCTTCTCACAGTATGTTACTGCATTCTCTTCATGTTCACATTCTGCCCTTTCTTTACAAGTTTATCTGCAGTTTTTGTTTCCTGATATACCAGTGGGGTTGCACTCACTGGAGTACAGTAGCTACTTTGAGATGTCCTGTTGCCAGATAATCTAATCTTGCATTCACTGGGTGTGACTGCCTACTATATTTATCAAAGTTTTAGTGTCTCTTCTATAGGACAATGTCTGCATTGCAGTTATTTTCTGCATCTCCAGGATTGGTGCAGTATTCATGGATCTTGCAATGAGTCTAAATGCTTGATTTTGCACTTTGTCTAACGACTGTAGATGGGAATTAGCAGCAGATGACTAAACTGTTGCACTAATCTCCAAGTGGGGTCCTTCCAAGGAAACACCCTATAAGTCGACTATTATAATATGCTTGTTAGGGAGACAGTAGACAGTGGCTCTATATCCCCCCCCCCCCTTCCTTTCCCCCAAATAGGGTGTTGAAACTGAAACTCGCACGGAGAAACTCATGTAATGAAATACCTAGTAGGCCATAGAGAGGAGCGAGTTTAAGGGATGAGTATTGCTATTAGTAATAATTACCACTAGAAAATTAACTGAATCTAGTTAGTTTCAATACAATACAAAGTACAACAAAGCTTACTAACTTTCAATTATTCGTTTCATGTTTCCTAAAAAGTCCATAGACCACTGATTGAGCGAGCAGGCAGCCACAATAACTTTTCTACCCATTTTTAGCAATGGTGTAACAGCTTTTAGAATGTTTTGTTAATTTAACTTATCACTGAAAATCTAACCCGTGTCAGGTTATTATAGTATGTTCCAATACCGCCATGAGTGAGTGTTAAAAAGTTCGGCATTTTGTTAGAGTACGTGTTTTCGATTTTATTTATTTATACAGCCTCAGTAAGTGCTAAAATTCATATAATAATGTAAAAATAAAAATCACATTAATATTCGCGATGTATTATTTCCATTAGTTTTGTAGCATTAAATACCTAGAGCATTATTAGCACATTATAAATTATTTTAACTCCCCAACGAAACAAACAAAAATAAGGCATCAGGTGTTGATGGAATATCAGCCGAGGCAATACAGGCTTGTGGAGAAATAGGAGTCACCTGGCTACTCCACATATTTAGGAAAGCCTGGGAAAAAAGAACTGTACCAATAGACTGGAAAAGAGCCCTTATAGTCCCAATTTGGAAAAGAAAAGACAATAAGCAAGATTGTAACAATTACAGAGGCATCTCCCTTCTAAGCCACGTAGGAAAAATGTTTGCCAAAATTCTGGAACAACGAATTAGATCCGTTGTAGAACCGATCCTGAGCCCATCACAGGTCGGATTTAGGAAAGGAAGAGGGTGTACTGACGCTATTTTTGCTTTAAGACAAGTTAGCGAAAAGACAATAGAACACAGACATCAAATGAACATCGCTTTCATAGATCAAGAAAAAGCTTTCGATAGAGTAAACAGAAATTTATTATGGAAAGTTCTTGAAAACTACGGTATAAATGGAACAATTTTAGATTGTGTTAGGGCTATTTATAGACAAAGTGAAAGCACCATTAGAACAAGAGCTGGCATCACAGACTGGTTCCCAGTAACATCAGGAGTAAGACAAGGTTGTGAATTATCACCTTTACTTTTCATAATATTTATGGACAATATTAATAAAATAGACATAACACCAACAGATGTCGATAAACAGGAGGACTTCAATGAGCTGCTCTTTGCCGACGATCAATGCATATTTCACAGTGATAGTAAACAGCTGCAAGACCACATAAACCTACTACACGACAGTTGCCTCAAGCATCATATGAAGATCAATACTGAAAAGACAGAAGTCATGAGCATAAGTAGAGAGCAACAGACCATCGACATAAAGATTCTAGATCACAGCCTAAAACAAGTGCAAGAATTTAAATACTTGGGAAGTATCTTTACATCCATATCTTTACATCCAATGGTAAAATAGACAGAGAGATCGAAGCAAGAATCCAACAAGCCAACAATGTCGCATACCAGCTTGCCCCAATTTTAAAACACCCTGCTGTCCCAGCTGAGATAAAAAGACAAATTATAAATACAATCTTTATACCGAAATTAGGTTATCAATGTCAGACTTGGACATTAACAAAAGAACACGAGAGAAGACTAACCACCTGTGAAATGAGATGTTTGAGAATGGCTGCGAATAAAACCAGAAGAGATCGAGTGAGAAACGATGTGATTACAAGAACTATTGGAACCATACCCATCGTTAAATTTATTGAGAAGCAAAGAATGAAATGGTTTGGTCACCTAATGAGAATGGAACTAACGATGCCAGCATCAAGAGCATACAACATGAAAATCAAAACACCAAGAGACAGGGGAAGACCAAGAAGAAGATGGATTGAAGGAGTCACGGACAACTTGAGACTTCATAACATCACGGCATATGAAGCGACTGAGCGCGCCATGGCTCGGTTGCCGATCATCTGATAGACTGCGACGCCTAGCGGCACAAGCAGATTTTGACAAAAGAAGAAAGAAGAACGAAACAAATCGGAGCAAACGTGGTCTAGCGGCTAGACACTCACCTCCAGATCGGAAGGTCGTTAGTTCGGGTCCTGATGGGGGGGGGGGGGGGGGGGGGTTAAAAAAATTACTTTTGCTTCCAGGTCGACCCTATCTTGAGTGGGTACCAGGTATAGTCCTTGGAAAAAAAAGGCGGCCGACGTGATGCTGATACCACATCACCCACCAAGTACCGTTTGGTCTATAAAATATAGGCCTAGTCCTATACACCCCTAAAGGCGTGGAAAAGGGTCCATTATTTTTTACTTATTGCAGAGCAGTGTTCTTCACACTTTTTACACCCGCAGCCCAACCGCAGTGTCAGCAAGATAGTCTGCACGCTCGTTCCCTTGAACACCCCCATGACTTCGCACAATGGTTGCCAGCTAAAAAATTTCATTTTATGCGGAACCATTGCCGAAAATATGTCAGAAAATGCCAGATAAAGGTGTAACATTGTACTCGCTTCACATCTAGATTGAATTCTTCACTGTCATCCTCACTAGAACAAGTGGAAGACACAGCGTAAACCTTTTCGGATGTGAAATCTTTAAGCATTTTCGCAGATGGGATAAAATCTTTGCAACTCATCTATAATGATGGCATATTTCTTATTCCGAAAATTACCAATAAGGTCACCCTGCATTATTACTAAGGGAAATAACCTGCTAAACTGTGAATACTTTAGTCTATGGCGTTGTCATCCTGCTTTTCAATTTAAATGTCAGATGCTTTTTAGTAATCAGTCGAACGCAAACATTAGTAACAGGATAGGGGTTTGTTAAAACAAATAAATCAAAACAGCAGAAATACTTGACATCTTTCCATAATGTATTGTACAAAAGATTCAGCATAATTTCCGCTCACACACACACTCATTTCCTAACATACGTGGTCGAGATTTTATATAAAAAAAAATTCTTAGGACGTTATTTTTTGTTATTTGAAGCCCCACTCTGGCTTTTGCCAGGGGCCGCAATATAGGCAGGTCATCATTATGGCCAAATGTCTGAACGCGGTTTCTGGGACCTCTCCACGGTGATCCTCATCCGCATGGTGGCACTTTGTGTCATTGGGTGTTTATCGCTTGTGTGATGTCCTGGTGGGGTAAAAAATCCAATCCAATCCAATCCGAGATTTTATTTTTTTTTCTCAAAAGGACTTGGACTTGGACATATCACCATCATATCTGTCTCCTTGCACTCATAGTTTAGGCCTAGATGTCTTAACTATTGTGGCTATTGGTATATAAGTACACTTGCTTTCTGACATGTTATGCTATTTACCACTTTATGCTAACTGACACATTGCCGGGAAAGGCAATTTACAAACATGAGAGGTGCCCCGTGTCCTTTTGCTTTCCTTTCTATCTCCCCTCACCCTGTCAGGCCTACTTGGGGGTTGTTTGCCCTCCCGTCTTGGCTTCCCACCTACTGTAAGATATTGATATGACTCAAAATAATGTTGTTTCACATTATAATCGTTTTACAAAAAATATATTTTTTCTGTTTAAAAATGTTTAATAATAGCCGAAAGGCACATGTAAATATATCCCGCTGCTTTTCCCTCAAAAAAAAATTTCTATTTTCCATTTTCATCCTTTGTTTCCCTTATCCGCTTACGCTTTCGTGCCCCCCTTTCTCCTCCTCCTTTTCCCTTTTTTTTTTTAATTCTCTCTTTCCACTCACTCTGTTGTTGTAATATATGTATATCTTAAAACCTGCTAAAACATTACCATCGAAATGTACCGTTTCCGCTGACAGACCCAACAGCCCCAGCTTTCCTCGAACCCACTGATCCTCTCTGCCCCCCCCCCCCCTGTCTCTATTTTCTGTGAAATGTCAGTGAGAAACGGTACAAAACCATCATCATTTTTCGCACATCACCTTATTTGATTTTGCTTTTGTTATGTAAAGAGAATTTGTATCTGATGTTTGGAACCAAATAAACAGATTTAAAAAAAAAAAAAAAAAAAAAAAAAAAAAAAATCACCATCTTTGAAATTTTTTGTCATTTGAAGCCCTACTCTGGCTTTTGCCAGGGGCCGCAATATAGGCAGAGGCCAATACATATGGCCAAAATGTCTGAAACGCGGTTTTCTGGGACCTCTCCACGGCGATCCTCATCCGCATGGTGGCACTTTGTGTCATCGGGTGTTTATCGCTTGTGTGATGTCCTAGTGGGGTAGAAAGTCAGTCATATCACCATCTTTACATAAGTCCTTACGTCCATCTGAGGACGTAATTTTTTGTTATTTGAAGCCCCACTCTGGCTTTTTGCAGGGGCCGCAATATAGGCAGGCCATAAAAATGGCCAAATGTCTGAACGCGGTTTTTCTGGGACCTCTCCACGGTGATCCTCATACCACATGGTGGCACATTGTGTCATCGGGTGTTTATCGCTTGTGTGATGTCCTAGTGGGGTAGAAATTCACTCACTCACTCATATCACCATTGTATTCCTTACGTCCTTCTTAGGACGTTATTTTTTGTTATTTGAAGCCCCACTCTGGCTATTGCCAGGGGCCGCAATATAGGCAGGTCATCATTATGGCCAAATGTCCTGAGGGGGGGGGGGGGGGGGGGGGGGGGGGGGGGGGGGGGGCGGTTTCTCTGGGACCTCTCCACGGCGATCCTCATCCGCATGGTGGCACTTTGTGTCATCGGGTGTTTATCGCTTGTGTGATGTCCTAGTGGGGTAGAAAGTCAGTCATATCACCATCTTTACATAAGTCCTTACGTCCATCTGAGGACGTAATTTTTTGTTATTTGAAGCCCCACTCTGGCTTTTGCCAGGGGCCGCAATATAGGCAGGCCATAAAAATGGCCAAATGTCTGAACGCGGTTTCTGGGACCTCTCCACGGTGATCCTCATCCACATGGTGGCACATTGTGTCATCGGGTGTTTATCGCTTGTGTGATGTCCTAGTGGGGTAGAAATTCACTCACTCACTCATATCACCATTGTATTCCTTACGTCCTTCTTAGGACGTTATTTTTTGTTATTTGAAGCCCCACTCTGGCTATTGCCAGGGGCCGCAATATAGGCAGGTCATCATTATGGCCAAATGTCTGAACGCGGTTTCTGGGACCTCTCCACGGTGATCCTCATCCGCATGGTGGCACTTTGTGTCATCGAGTGTTTATCGCTTGTGTGATGTCCTA